GCGCACCACCATGCCTGGCTAATTTTTGTATTTTTTAGTAGAGACGGGGTTTCACCATGTTCGTCAGGATGGTCTTGATCTCATGATCCGCCCGCCTCGGCCTCCCAAAGTACTGGGATTACAGGCGTGAATCCCCGCGCCTGGCCCTATTTACCTCTTGAAGGTCTCACTTCTAAATTCTATTGCACTGCGGATTACATTTCCAACCCAGGAACTTTGGGGGACACATCATATCACAGCACATAGTTTTATCAAATGCTCCTCCAAAGTGATTGTTCCTGGTTACCACACCCTGGCTATCCAGTGGGGCCGTTTCCTCTAGCGTCCCTTTAGCAGCAAGGACAGTTAGGAAGGGGTGGAGCTGACACTGAACCTGTGTCTGTACATATTATGTAATTATATACCCTGCTTCAAAGTCCTGCTCTGTTGCCCTGGAGTGCAGTGACATGATCATAGCTCATTGTAGCCGGCAACTCCTGGGCTCAAGCTATGATCCCCCTGCCTCAGCCTCCTGAGTAGGCATGTGCCACCAGCCCCAGTGAATTTAAAAAATTATTATTTTTGACTCCAGCTCTGTTGCTCAGGCTGGAGTGCAGTGGCGTGATCTCGGCTGACTGCAGCCTCTGCCTCCTGAGTTCAAGTGATTCTCCTGCCTCAGCCTACTGAGTAGCTGGGATTACAGGCGCGCACCACCACTCCTGGCTGTTTTTATTATTACTAGAGACACGATTTCACCATGTTGGCCAGGATGGTCTTGATATCCTGACCCTATGATACACCCGCCTCAGCCTCCCAAAGTGCTGGGATTACAGGCCTGAGTCACATTGCTAGCCTTGTTTTTTTTTTGAGACAGAGTCTCGCTCTGTTGCCCAGGTTGGAGTGCAGCAGTGTGATCTCGACTCAGTGCAACCTCTGCCTCCCAGGTTCTAGCAATTCTCCTGTCTCAGCCTCTCGAGTAGCTGGCACTACAAGCATGCTCCGCCACGCCTGGCTAATTTTTGTAGTTTTAATAGAAACCAGTTTTTACCATGTTGGCCAGGCTGGTCTCAAACTCCTGATCTCAGGTGATTTGTCCACCTTGGCCTCCCAAAGTGCTAGGATTATAGGCGTGAGCCACCATGCCCAGCCCCTTTTTCTTCCTTTGTTTCTCTTTCTCTCTCCGTCCCTCCCTCCCTCCCTTCCTTCCTTTTTTTGAGGCTGGGTCTTGCTCTGTCACCTAGGCTGCAATGCAATGGCACAATCTTGGCTCACTGTAACCTCTGCCTCCTGGATTCAAGCAATTCTCCTGCCTCAGCCTCCCAAGTAGCTGGGATTACAGGCGTGCGCCACCACACCCAACTAATTTCTGTATTTTTAGTAGAGACGGAGTTTCGCCACGTTGGCCAGGCTTGTCTCAAACTCCTCACCTCAGGTGATCCGCCCACCTCCCTGCTTCTCATTGAGGTCTCTATCAATCAGGTATCAGCACAGGGAAAGGGCTCAGGGCAGTGTGTGGCAATGGCGCTGTTTGCAGGAAGATGGCAGTAGGAGCGACCCTTTCTACATGCACTCAACACAGCCTAGTAAGGCCCCGGGCAGTGTGTGGGGACTTGCTGTGATCTTAGCTCCAGGTGCTCCTCCAGCTGGACAGGCAGCCTATGGCTGATGACGGTGCAAGGCCAGATGTCCCCTTCTGTCTCTGTGAGGGCAGAGACGAGGTCTGTCTCTTGACCGTGTCCCCAGCACTTGTCACAGTGCCTCTGGATCTGTTATGGGTCATTCAGCCATTAAATATCAAGCGCCCCTACAGCATACTTTATCCACTGGGGACAAAGTGAGGATAACGCACCAAAGAAGGCCTGCACTCGTGGGGACTTCCCTTTTGTTTATTTTAGACGGAGTCTTACCATGTCGCCCAGGTTGGAGTGCAGTGACACTTTCTCAGCTCACTGCAACTTCCACGTCCCAGGTTCAAGTGATTCTCCTGCCTCAGCCTGCCAAGTAGATGCGACTACAGGCGTGTGCCACCATGCCTGGCTAATTTTTTAGTAGAAGTGGGGTTTCACCATATTTGACAGGCTGGTCTCAAACTCCTGACCTCGTGGTCTGCCCTCCTTGGCCTCCCAAAGTGCTGGGATTACAACTGTGAGCCTCGCACCTGGCCCACTTATTTTATTTTTGAGACAGGGTCTCACCCTGTAACCCAAGCTGGAGTGCAGTGGCTTGATCTTAGCTCACTGCAGCCTCCAACTCCTGGGCTCAAACAATCCTCCTGCCTCGGCCTCCCAAAGTGCTGGGAATACAGGCCTCAGCCACCAAGCCTGACCAAGCTTCACTATTTTTTCCCTTTTTTTTGACACAGGGTGTCACTCTGTCAACTAGGCTGGAGTGCAGTGGCTCAGTCAGGGCTCACTGCAGCCTCAGCCTCCTGAGTAGCTGGAACTACAGACGCACGCCACCACACCTGGCTATTTGTTTTGTATTTTTGTAGACTCGGGGGTTTCTCAGTGTTGCCCAGGCTGGTCTTCAACTCATGGGCTCAAGTGATCCACCCACCTCAGCCTCTCAAAGTGCTGAGATTATAGGTGTGAGCGATGGCACCCGGCTGAGCTTCACTTTTACCAGGAATGGGGATGATGAAGGCTGGGAGCATCCCGGTCTGGGGGAGCCCAGGCCCCTCAGCCTATCTTCTGATGCAGCCACAACTGCCCGGGCCACCTCTCCCACCCACTCACAGAACCTCTGATTAGAAGGCCTCTCCAAGGCCATGCTGTAGAGAAGGCAAGCAGAAAGAGTATCCACTCTTCCAATCTGATTTTATTGAAAAGGAAACATACAAAAATCATGTACAAAAAAAATTAACCAAACATGTACAGAAAATTCATTCCGGTATCTACAGCAGCGCATATACAGTATCTTACAGGCTGGCCATCCCTCCCCGCTCCCAGACTCCTCCCTCTTCCGAGATTTCCCCCCCTCCCTGACTCCCCGTCTTCCCCCCAGCGCTTGGCCCTGGGGACTAAGGCTGGGGCGGCTTCAGCCAAAATCTCCCACCCCCCAAATGAATGCCAGTGGTCACACGTGCTCTCTCTAAACCTATGCAATGGGATTGATGGGGCAGGGGGCGGTTGCGGGCAGAGCACAGGATTCACAGTCTGGGCCCCTCCTGGCCACCCCCCCCCGATGAAGGTGAGGCAGGCATGCCCACCACCTGCCGGCTGGCTCAGGGAAGATGGCTGGGCGCCGGGCTGGAGCAACCTGCAGACGCGCCCCACTCTCTGGCTCCAGGAGGCTAGTGGTCACGTTTGGCTCATTTGCTCTTCACGGGCCCCCTCCCAGGAGGAGGGGGGGAAGCACCAGGGGCCTGAGGCCAGGCCCAGAGTGAAGGAGCACTGAGAGGAGAGCCCCCCAGTGTCACCCCTGCAGCTGGAACGGGCACCAGCACAGCAGCCTTTCCTGAGATGGTGGTGGGCAGCAGAGGCGGGCGGCTCAGTCCCCACCCCCTCGGTCACCGCCGCCTTCTGATGCTGAGTCCGTCAGCCCTCCCTTCCCTAGCATCTGGGCCAGGGACCCAGGAGTCCACATCTCCGTCAGTGCACCCAGGCTGGGCTGGGGCTGGAGTGGCTGCCCCGGCCCGCCCCTGGGACAGGCAGGGCTGGGAGTCCAGTATGCTACATGGTGCAGAGAAAGTCCCCCGCGCTGGCCAGGGTGTCAGGAGGTGGGAGGGGCCTGCCCCCCGAGTCCCTGACGTCCACCGGGCGGGTGCAGGCACCTAATTGGGCTCCATCTCGGGGGCTCTGTGGCCCCTGGGAAAGGGCAGGAGTCCCATGATGAGATTGTACAGGACCCTCCAGGGCGAGGGGCGGTGCTGCGGCTGCTCCTCTTGTCTCTGGGGAAAAGAGAGAGAGAAGGGGCAGTTAGCAGGGTCCTGAGTGTGGTGACAGGAGTGGGGACGGTCAGCTCCAGAGGAAGTGAGGCAACAGTCTCGCCCACCCTATTCCAGCTCCTCTGCCTACCTCGGGGTCACAACCTCATCCAGGACATGAGACCAGGAGGCAGAGGACAGAGATGAAATACCCTCAGCAGAGAGCCGGGCACCAATCGAGTGCCTAGCACATGTTAGCTGTGACCACCCCGTCCCTGTTGTACATTTGGGAAAGGCATCCCACAAGGGGCTGACGGATGAACTGCAACCTATCCTGCCCCTCCCTGCAGGGCGGCGAGATGAGGAGAAAGGAGCAGGGTGCCCATGAGAACTGGGAAGAGTTCAGCCCCCACTGTAGAGGCTCTTTTTTTTTTTTTTAACAGTCTCGCTCTGTTATATAGGCTGGAATGCAGTGGCACAATCTCGACTCACTGTAACCTCTGCCTCCCAGGTTCAAGGAATTCTGCCTCAGCCTCCCAAGTAGCTGCGATTACAGGCATCCGCCACCCTGCCCAGGTAATTTTTGTATTTTTAGTAGAGACGGGGTTTTACCATGTTGGCCAGGCTGGTCTCAAACTCCTGACCTCATGATCCGCCTGTCTCGACCTCCCAAAGTGCTGAGATTACAGGCGTGAGCCACCGCACCAGCCAGAGGTTTCAACAGAAGCACTTCTAGGCAACGCTGAGTGAAACCCCTGCCCGCTCTCCAGTGACAGGATGAAGACAAGGTGGTCTCTAGGACCCTCTCAGCTCCAAAATGCTAGGAACTGGGAAGGCAGGAAGCTAGGTCCCAGGAAAGCCTCCTGGCTGGTAAAAATTAAAGGCAATACTGAAAAGTGTACAGAGGCCAGGCGCTGTGGCTTACACCTATAATCCCAGTGCTTTGAGAGGCCAAGGCGGGAGGATCACCTAAGGTCAGGAGTTCGAGACCAGTCTGGCCAACGTGGTGGAACCCTGTCTCTATTAAAAATACAAAAATGACCAGGTACGGTGGCTCACGCCTGTAATCCCAGCACTTTGAGGAGCTGAGACAGGTGGATCACTCGATGTCAGGTGTTCAAGACCAGCCTGGCTAACATGGTAAGACCTCATCTCTACTAAAAACACAAAATTTAGCTGGGTATGGTGGCGCACGCCAGTAATCCCAGCCACTCGGGTGGCTGAGGCAGGAGACTTGCTTGGATCTGGGAGGCGGAGGTTGCAGTAAGCCAAGATCATGCCACTGCACTCCAGCCTGGGTGACAGAGTGACACTATGTCTCCAAAAAAAAAAGGCCGGTGAGGTGTCTCATGCCTGTAATCCCAGTGCTTTGGGAGGCCGAGGCAGGCAGAATCAACTGAGGTCAGGAGTTTAAGACCAGCTTGGCCAACATGCTGAAACTCCGTCTTTACTAAAACTACAAAAATTAACCGGGTGTGGTGTAATCCCAGCTACTTGGGAGGCCGAGGCAGCAGAATCGCTTGAACCCAGGAGGCGGAGGTTGCAGTGAGCCAAGATTGAGCCACTGCACTCCAGCCTGGGCAACAGACTCCGTCTCAAAAAAAAAAAAAAAAAAAAAAAAAAAAAGTGCCCAGAGAGCTGCAGTCCTCTGTCACTCCCTATAGCTCCACATCCAGGCTCTGTGCTAAGTGAGGACCACCTAACCTCCTCCCCTTCAGGTGCAGGGTAAGGAGAAACTCACTTTACAGACGGTTACATGATCCTGATCATCCTCATGGTTAACCTGGCAGTGAGTCGCCTGGTACCAGCCCAGCCTCCTCAACACTCCCTAGCAACTCTTGGGGCCAGGCGATGGAGGCAAAGGGTACACATCATATTGGCGTAAGTTACAAAACCCACCGTCACACTGCTGTGGGTGCCACATGGTGAGCAAGCTGGCATTCACCTAGTGAGGTGGACGGTGAGCAGACCACTTAGGTATCTAATCTAGAGACACAAGAGCGCATCTGGAAATATGCATGATTGGGACAGGAAAAAAGCCAATAAATAATGGTCGTGTGCAGTGGCTCACGTCTGTAATCCCAGCACTTTGGGAGGCCGAGGTGGGTGGATCACCTGTGGTTGGGAGTTTGGGATCAGCCTGGTCAACATGGTGAAATGCTGTCTCTACTAAAAATACACAATTTAGCCAGGTGGGGTGGCAGGCACCTGTAATCCCAGCTACTTGCAAGACTGAGGCAGGAGAATCCCTTGAACCCAGGAGGTGGAGGCTGCAGTGAGCTGAGATCACGCCATTGCACTCCAGCCTGGGCAACAAGAGCAAAACTCTGTCTCAAAAAAAAAAAAAAAAAAAAAAAAAAGCCAATAAATAAAATCTGAAATATATTTAAAAATAGGCTGGGTAAGGTAGCTCAGGCCTATAATCCCAGCACTTTGGGAGGCCAAGGCAGGAGGATCACTTAAGGCCAGGAGTTTGAGACCAGCCTGGGTAACACAGCAAGACCAGATCTCTACAAAGAATAAAAAATTAGCCAGGTATGGTGGGCCTGCCTGTGATCCCAGCTAGTTGGGAGGCTGAGGTGGGAGGATCCCTTAAATCCAGAAGTTGGAGGCTGCAGGGAGCTGTGATGGCACCACTGCACTCCAACCTGGGAGACAGAGTGAGACCCTGTCTCTAAACATAAAAAAATACATAGCTATCCTAAATATCCATCAGTGAGAAAATAAATAAAGATACTATGTTTATCCAACAGAATACTATGTAGCCATGAAAATAGCTTTTTTTGTTTTTTGTTTTGAGACAGAGTCTCATTCTGTTACACAGGCTGGAGTGCAGTAGCCCGATCTCAGCTCACTGCAACCTCCACCTCCTGGGTTCAAGTGATTCTCCTGCCTCAGTCTTGCAAGTAGCTGGGATTACAGGCATGTGCCACCATGCTCAGCTAATTTTTCTATTTTTAGTAGAGATGGTGTTTCACCATGTTGGCCAGGCTGGTCTCAAACTGGCCACCTCAAGTGATCCACCTGCCTCGGCCTCCCAAGGGACTGGGATTACAGGGGTGGACCACTGCACTCGGCCGAAAATGGCTGGTTTTTTTGTTTCTTTTTTTCGATGGTCTTGCTCTGTCACCCAGGCTGGACTTCAGTGGCCCCAACACAGCTCACTGCAGCCTCGACTTCCCTGGCTCAAGGGACTCTTTCACCTCAGCCTCCCAAGTAGCTGGGACTACGGGCCCACGCCTCCACATCCGGCTATTTTTTTTTTTTTAAGAGACGGGGTTTTACCATATTGGTCAGTCTGGTCTTGAACTGACCTCGTGATCCGCCTGCCTCGGCCTCCCAAAGTGCTGAGATTACAGGCGTGAGCCACCGCACCCCACATTTTTGTATTTTTTTTTTTACATAGCGACGGGGGTCTCATTATGTTGCCCAGGCTGGTCTGGAACTCCTGGGCTCAAGCGTCCTTCCACCTCCGCTTCCCAAAGTGCTGGGATTACAGGCGTGAGCCACCGAGCCTGGCTAAACATGGATGGATGGAAGCTCTTTTGCCCATAAGATGAATCTGAAGCCTAATATTGTGAGAAAAAGGAATTCTGGGGAGGAACAAACACTGTGTCATGGACGCTAAGCTAAGAATGCCCCATGATCCTAAGCACTGTTTCTGGCCTGGTAAATACAGAGTAAAAGCAGCAACACCTGCAGGGGATGAGCGCGGGCAACTTAAGAGGTTTCCCTTGGATGCAAGGAGGGGGAAGGGATGGGAGAGTGAGGAGCTTCACCACATGCTTTTCTGCGGTTTTGTTTGGCTTTTTAATAAGCAAGCAATGGGGGTGTAATGTTCAGCCTGAACAGAGCAGGCTGGTGGGCGCACGATGTTTGTGATTTCCCATTCTCTGCTGTGGGCCTCGGATATTTGTTTTAAAAAATCTGGGCCGTGCCACGGGCTGGGGGGCGGGGCCTCCCGCAGGGCGGAGCTCCAGGCCCTCCCCTGCCCTCCCCCGGCCGCCCCGGCTGTCCCCGGCCCGCCCCGGCGCCCGGGAAGCTGTGTGGCGCTGCGGGCCGCGCGGGAGGGACGGCAGGGGGCGGGCGCGGCGCGGCTGCTGACTCACCGGCTATAAATAGCCCGGGATATATGAGCCGCGCCGCCCAGCGCCGCCCTCAGTCCCCGCGGCCGCGGGCCACGGGCGCGCCGCTGCTCTCCGCGGCGGCCTGGTTCTCGGGCCCCGGCCCTGGCCCGGGCTCCGGCTGTGCCATCCGCGTCGCGGGGCCCAGGGGCGGCTCTGCGGGCGCGCGATCCCCCACCCACTCACCCCCACCTGCCTGTCCCCGGCGCGACCCAGTCGCGCAAGGGCAGCAGCTGCCGCACATCTGGCGGGGGCCGCCTGCCGCCCCCTCCTCCGGCGGGAAGTCCCACCTGCCGTCTACCCCGCCCCCAGCACTCACCCGCCGCTCGTACTGCGCGTTGAGGTCGTCCGCCATCCGCTGCAGCTGGGCCCCGATCTCCCGGGCCCACTGCTCCTCCTCCCCGCGGACTCCCAGGGCCGCCTGGGTGGGACCGCCCGCCAGGGCCCCCGGGGCGCTGGGCACGGGCGACTCCAGGTGCTGCTCCGCCAGCGAGAGCGAGGGCTGAGGACCTTGGAGAGGCAGAAGGGCGCGGTCAGCACCCACCACCCCTCTAGGCCTAGAGGTGTCCCGAGCTGCTTCCCTGTTTCCCAGCCACTGCTCCCCGCCTCATTTCTAGCGATTCCTTCTTCTTCTCTTAGAGTCAATTTCTCAGCTTCTCCTCCCCAGGCACCAGAAAGCAGGAAGGACCTGGGGACGCCGCTCTGGGGTCACCTGTTTGGCCAGCTACGTCCCCACGGCCCATGTCAGTGTGGAAGGCAGGCGGCCAGAGAGGTGACCCTAGGGGGTGGTCAGGCCTAAGGACCTCTATTCCCCCACGGGGCCATGTTTTGCCTGTTCCGTGTGACAGACAGGGAAACTGAGGCCCGCACTTAGGGAGTATCCCAAGGTCACACAGGGATACAGCGACTGACCCCACCCAGACCACAAGCCTCAGGTCTCCAGCCCTCTCGAGTCCAACCACAGGGAAGCCACACCTCCGGATGTGGCAGAGGCCTGGAGACCAGAAGGCCAGAGACTGGCAGCTTCAGAGCGCCGGCCTGGGGGTGCTGGGACTCGGGAGAAGCCTTCCTGCCCCTCCCCCTTCTAAGCGCTCTAGGAGGCTCCGGCCCTCTGGTCCCACCAGGTCCGACCTGAGGGTTCCCTACGACCCACAAGCAGGGCCTCAGTTTCCAGTCTGTGACCCTGGCCTTGAAATCGGTGTCCCTCTCCAGGGCTTCCAGGAACGGAGCTAGGGAAGTTTTCTCTTTCCTTACTACCCTCGGGCCGCAGGGACAGGATGGGGGATGGGAAACCAGGACACACTTTCCCGGGCTACAGCGCCAGCCGGCAGGAATGGGGCTCCCCGGGCACCACAGGGTTAACAGCCCATCAGGCAGGGGACCTTTAACCCTTCCCTCCCCAAGACTCCCCCCTCCCCGAGGGGACTTTCCCAACACAATGGCCCCGACTCCCTCTCTTTCCTCCGCTGGGACTGCGGAGAGGGCCAGTCCTGGCCAAAGAGATGCAAATAAAGGCAAAAGGACCCTCGACTCCTTCCCAGAGCCCGGAGGTGACGGTCCTCCCGCTCAGCCCACACTCCCTCCAACAAGAATCATCCAGGGGGGTCTAGGGGACCCAGACTGGGGGAGGGGAGCTGGGATGCAGCTGTTGCCCGAGGCCCGGAAGAGACAGTGGGCTGCAATTCGGGGACTGCAGTCAGATTCCAGGAGGGACTTCCCACTTGACCTCCCCCTCCACCCCCAGCCTCCGTCTTCCTGCTTCTTGCAACACAAAGACCACATTGGCCACACCCTCCCAGTGGCCCGGCTGGGCTCGCCACCTCCCCCCCGTCCACTCCCACTCTCCAGTTCCTCCGAGCCTCCGGGCCCCTCTCTTCCCGGCTGCTAGCACCCCGGGGGCGGGGCGGGCACTCACCGTCCGGGCGCGGGCCTCGGGGGCGGCTGCGGGGGCCCCCAGGCCAGCGGGGGCTCCCCAGGGCGGCGGTGACGGCGGGTGGGGTGGCGGGGGCGCAGAGGTAGGCAGCGGGCAGCAAGGCGGGGGGCGGCGGGGGCGGCGGGCAGGCCGGACTCGCAGAGGCCGCAGGACACGGCCGAGGGCACCAGGCGGCCGAGCGGGAAGGGGCGCGGGCCGTCGCGGGCCAGGCCCTCTACGGGCTCCGGGGAGCTGCCCTCCTGGCGTGCGCGGGCCATGGCGCTCCCTGGGGCCTGCGGGACACGAGACGAGGAGCAGGTCAGCAGGGAAGTGCCGGGCCCACTGAACCTCCAGCCTCCCCAGGGTCAGGACCCAGATGGAGAAGAGCGGAGGTGTGTGTGCCGGCGGAGGGGGAGATGGCCCCACAGAGACACGCCCAACCAGGGGACGACACCACCGGGCCCCGCTGGCCTGGGCAGCCTCCCGGGCACACCGTGATGGGCACACAGGGGCCCAGGACGGCTCTCTCAGCAAGGACCGGACTCACACGGGACGGATGGAGGGTCTGGCAGGTGTGTGTATGAGAGCTGTGACAGTCCCACAGCACAAACTCACTCCACTTGGGACTCACAGCGGGGGCTGGTGGGCGCAACTTTCCCAACACAGCTACGGGCACGCTGGCAGGGCAGCGAGGCACAGTGAGGCCCCCACAGCACACACACAAGGACTCACACGGGACTGGCCAGCCTGACCACCCACCCTACTTCCCACCTGCAGGCAAACACTGAGATGGCCCCAGCCTGGGACATCACTCCTCAGTCCACACGAGATACACACACACACAACCCGACCAAAGCAGGCACATGTAGACAATCACAAGCACTCTATACACAGCGCACGCTGGCTGGCAAAACCCATCCCCACACACACATCCAAACTGTCAAAGTCTCACACACTGACCCACTGTTGATATGCCCAGGGGCACACGCAAACACAATGCAGCCATTGCAAACACCCCCCCACACACACACACACGCACAAGCTAGGCACTGCCTCAGTTCCCAAACATGCCCCTCTCCAGACACACACACAGACACATACACTCCAGAGATAAGACCTGCACACCTCGGGACTCACATATCAACACAAAACACACCGACAGACACACTCACATCAACACCCCCAAAACACACCCACATGTCACCAACTCAGGACACACATAAATAAGGCACACACAGACACATGCCATCAGCCCCTGACACATCACCAGACACCAGGTGGGCTACGGCCAACAGACACCAACCCACCCTCTTCATGCAACCCCCAAACACCATCACCAACTGTCAGCAACACACACACACACACACACACTCTACAGCTAACTCAATCCCACACAGCCCAGCAGCACACACACCTAGCGCACCCACAGAGAACACTGGTCTCACGTGACTGACATAAACACTACACACACGCAGCCCACATGACACACATGAGCCAGCCGATCGCAGTGACAAGCCCCTCAGACCCAACACACACACAGAGGCTCAGACACAACCACATCCAGAGGCTGCCAGCAACATCCACCGTCTACACTGCATAGACCCCACAGATCCCGGGTCCTCAAATCCCAGACGCTGATGCCAGACACACAAGCCAAACCCAGACTAAGACAAGAGAGCCCCCCCACCCCCCCACACACAAACACACACGCACACCTGACAACTGACACAGACACCTGGACAGAAAACAAACATCTGCATTTAGCAGGAGCAACATCACAAACGCTGGGCAAAGACACATGCCCCGGAGATACAGAGAGCCAGCCACAGCCAAGACACAAGCACACACACCGCACGGTGTGTCGGGCAAGACACACACATAAACACACAAACAGCGCACTCCAGCAACACACACACACTCCAGCCTCCACACCCCAGCACGCGCTGGCAACACAGACCTCCAGTCTCACCCCGAAGAGCACATGCAGACAACTCTCACCGAGAACACACACAGGTCCACCCACTCCACGGGCAGGGCACCCACAGACAGAATCCCACACAAACAGGCGCGGGGACTCACGCAGACACCCCGACGGGTCAGAAACCCCAACATTCCTCCGGATCGACACCTCCACTCCCTGCAGAGCCCAGCACAAACTCGGAGCCAGACGCGCGCACACACCCAGGCGAGACACCTGCAGATCCACAACCCCGCACACGCGCGCTCCCACGGCGGTCCCAGACGCCCCACTCCGCTGTCACAGCCACCCCCACCGCCGCCACGTGCGCCCGCCCCGCCCGCCAGGCGAGCGCGGGGCCAATAACCGGCTGTTGCTGGGGCGCAGCCCCCGCCCGCAGGAGCCGCAGACTCCACGGCCCGCGAGCCGCCCCCTGTCGCCGCCCCCAGCGGGCGCGCGCCCTGGGTGTGGCCGCCCCTCCGTGCCGCCCCCCCGCCCCTCCCGGACTTTGGGGGCTGGGGCACCCCGGGGTCGACCCTCTTCCCCGGGGTCGCACTGGCCGCCAGGGGGCGCTGCCGAGCCCGCACCCCATTGTTTGTAAACAAACCCGCCAGACTGCCGAGGCACCTGTGCGCCCAGACCTGGCGCCCCAACGCCGAGCCGCCTCCCTCCCCGCGACCCCAGCCCAGGGTCCCTCGTGGGGTTTGGGGGGAGGCGCGGTGTGGGGAGGCAGGGCGCAAGCACTGCTCGCCGCCTGCACTCCTGTCACCTCCTCCAGGGAGCCCACCTGGCCTGGCCGATCGCGGCCGGTGAGGATTCGGGGCGCGCACACTCACCCCGGGGGCATGAACACGCCGGAGGGGGCGGCGGTGGGGGGCGGGCGGCTTCCTTCAGGAGGGCGCGCCCGCCAAGCGCCGCTCTCCGCGGCGGCTGCTGCTGTGGCTGTCGCTGCTGCTGCCGCTCTGACTGCAGTGGCGGCTGCTGTGGCTGTGGCTGCCGCTGCTCCCCGGGCCGCAGGCGCGTCCGCGTCGTGGCCGCCGCTGCTGGGATCGCTGGTGCAGCCGCCGCCGCCAGGCACCCGCTCGCATGTGGTTCGCGCCGCGTCTCAGGCCGCCCGGCGGATCCCGGGCCCGCTCCGAAGCCGCCCCGCCCCGCCCCGCCCCGCCCCCGCCCGGCGGGTCCCACGCCCCGCCCCCGCGTGACGCCACAGCCCCGCCCGCCCGCCGCGGACAAGTCGGGACTTGCAGGCGCGCGCCGCGCCCCCCCTACCTCCGCGCGGGGGGTTTCCCTGCAGCCGGGGACGGGGCAGGGCCTGGCCCGGGGCGAGGAGGACCCAGGCGCGGTGCGGCGGGGTGCGAGTTATCGCCCAGACACCGGGACAGTAGGACCCACAGAGTGGGACCCACACATCCACAACCCCAGGGAGGCATACACAGACCGACCGACGGGCGCTCCAGGGTACACAAAGTCACGTGCAGGCAGAGCCCGAGGGGTGCACTCACAGAGACAAGGCCACAGTGTCACCAATGCACACCATGGACAGGGGCATGAACACACAGTCACACACTGCTGGGGCGCACACTTGCACACACCCAGACGCAAATGCACAGACTCACTAACAGGGTCCCCAGGACAAGCCGATGGACACAATGACAGGGCCACACACAGTGGCACAAACACCCACACTGATAATGACACCCGGACCCACAAACTGTGTTCACATATATCCCTACAGAACAGGCACCCACAGTGAACACAGTGGTGCAACCACACAGACACAGGCGGAGTGCTTATCAGGTAACACACACCTGCTGACAGGCACAGAGGGCACACACACACAGAGACACCCGTTACAGGGATACCTGGACACATGGCCAAATCCAAACCACACTCCAACAGGGACACACACAGACGCACTCACAGTTTCACAGCTAACACGTGAAAACGATCAGAAACCGACATTTGGAGACACAGACCAAATCCAACATAGAGGAAACTGAGCACCCCCCCCACACACACACACATATCATGAAGCCACACCTGTGACAGCTTCTTGCTAACTGGCCCGCTGACTGCACACACGCCGGAGCATCCACACCTGGTCTCACTCACCACACATCTGGCAGGGAACCCACACCGAGGAAGAAGCCCTGGGCACTTGGCATGGACATGCCCAGGCAGACCCCACGCCACATTTCATCTTTGTCTTCCCTTCCCTTTTTCAGTTTCTCATTGTCATTTCCCTGACCGGCCCTGGGGTCCTTCCTTCTTCCAAAGCCCTGCACTCCTCCTCCTTTGCACTTTCCGTCCCTACTTGGCTCTCATCCAATCCCAATCACCTCACCAGAGTGACTCACCTTCCAGTGCCTAGTGTGGGGCTGGCTGAGAAAGGACGTCAGACTTCTCACACTTGACTGCTTCAGAGCCCACACCCTTACATCCCCCAAGAGAAGCAGGTAAGCCACGTCTCTCATGAAATCTCACCGTTTTAAATATTGGAGACTCTTCAGCCTTCCTATCTCTTGCCCTTTCCCCAATTATTCATTCTCCCTTCCTTCTTCCTGGTGTTTTCCAAACTGTGGGTCATGAGTAAACCATGGATTACGGTACCACTTTGGATCTTACTTTTTTTTTCTTTTTGAGACTTAGTCTCTCGCTCTGTCACCTATGCTGGAGTGCAGTGGCTCAATCTCAGCTCGCTCTGCACCCTCCGCCTCCCAAGTTGAAGCAGTTCTCCTGTCTCAGCCTCCAAGTAGCTGGGACTACAGGTGCCTGCCACCACGCCTGACTAATTTTTGTGGGTTTTTTTTTTCCTTTTTTTTGAGACGGAGTCTTGCTCTGTTGCCAGGCTGGAGTGCAGTGGTGCAATCTCGGCTCACTGCAACCTCCGCCTCCTGGGTTCAAGCGTTTCTTCCGTCTCAGCCTCCCGAGTAGCTGGGACCACAGGTATGTGCCACCATGCCCAGCTAATTTTTGTATTTATAGTAAAGACGGGGTTTCACCATGTTGGCCAGGATGGTCTCGATCTCTTGACCTCGTGATCCGCCCGCCTCAGCCTCCCAAGGTGCTGGGATTGCAGGCATGAGCCACCGCGCCCGGCCTTTTTTTTTTTTTTTTTTTTTTTTTGAGACAGAGTCTTGCTCTGTCGCCCAGGCTGAGGAGCAGTGGCATGCTCTTGGCTCACCGCAAACTCTGTCTCCTGGGTTCAAGTGATTCTCCTGCTCAACCTCCCAAGTAGCTGGGATTACAGGTGTGTGCCACCATGCCCGGCTAATTATTTTTGTATTTTTAGTAGAGACTAAAATTGGTCAGGCTAGTCTTAAACTCCTGAAGTTGAGATTCACCTGCCTTGGCCTCCTAAAGTGCTGGAATTATGGGCGTGAGCCACCGCACCTGGCTTTTTTTTTTTTTTTTTTTTTTTAAGAGGGAATCTCGCTCTGTCGCCAGGCTGGAGTACAATGGTACAATCTCAGCTCACTGCAACCTCTGCCTCCTGGGTTCAAGTGAGTCTCCTGCCTCAGGCTCTCCAGTAGCTGGGATTACAGGTTCACGCCACTGCGCCTGGCTAATTTTTGTATTATTAGTAGAAACGGGATTTCACCATGTTGGCCAGGATGGTCTTGATCTGACCTGGTGATCTGCCCACCTTGGCTTTCCAATGTGCTGGGATTACAGGCGTGAGCCACGGTGCCTGGCCGCTAATTTTTTTTTTTTTTTTTTTTTTTTTTTTTGTAGAGATGGGCAGTCTTGCTATGTTGCCTGGGCTAGTCCTGACCTTACCAGGTTAAGCAAACCTCCTGCCTTGACCTCTCTCAGTGCTGGGATTAAAGGTGTGAGCCACTATGCCTGGCTGATCTTACTGTGTTTTACTCAATAAGATGCATTCACATCTGACCAACTGGCGCTTTATTGAGATATATTTACACACAAGAACAATCACTCTTTTAAAATATATCATTTGTAAATGCTGATAAAAGTACACAATTTTTTTTTTTTTTTTAACGGAGTTTCACTCTTGTTACCCAGGCTGGAGTGCAATGGCGCTATCTCGGCTCACCGCAGCCTCCGCCTCCTGGGTTCAGGCAATTCTCCTGCCTCAGCCTCCTGAGTAGCTGGGATTACAGGCACGCGCCACCATGCCCAGCTAACGTTTTGTATTTTTAGTAGAGACGGGGTTTCACCATGTTGACCAGGATGGTCTCGATCTCTTGACCTCGTGATCCACCCGCCTCGGCCTCCCAAAATGCTGGGATTACAGGCTTGAGCCACCGCGCCCGGCCAAAAGTACACAATTTTATACTACGGCAATTACTACCTGAAACTTCACTGGCCCTAGACAAGACATTTTGTTGTTTTAATTAAGACAGAATCTGGCTGCGTTGCCCAGGCTGGTTTCAAACTCCTGGGCTCAATCGATCCTCGCACCTCAGCCTCCCTAGTAGCTGGGTTTATAGACATGCATGACTGCTTTGACCAGAGTTTTAAGAAAACGGCAGGCCTGGCCGGGCGCGGTGGCTCAAGCCTGTAATCCCAGCACTTTGGGAGGCCGAGGTGGGTGGATCACGAGGTCAAGAGATCGAGACCATCCTGGTCAACATGGTGAAAACCCCACCTCTACTAAAACTACAAAAAATTAGCTGGGCATGGTGGTGCGTGCCTGTAATCCCAGCTACTCAGGAGGCTGAGGCAGGAGAATTGCCTGAACCCAGGAGGCGGAGGTTGCGGTGAGCCGACATCGCGCCATTGCACTCCAGCATGGGTAACAAGAGCGAAACTCCGTCTCAAAAAAAAAAAAAAAAAAAAAGAGAAATGCTGCTCTTTAGACACGTATTAAATGAGATCACGCTGGAAGTCGTTTAGTGCAGTATTGGACATACAGTAAGTGCCTAATAAGTGTTAGCTATTATCACTTGTATAACTAATTATTGTCAGTATTTCCTCTGTGCCCGACAGTGATGAAGGTGGGAAGGGTCTAGACCTCTGTGAGCTCATGGTCCTGCCTGTCCCTCTCACCTCTCATTCGCCGATCAGTGTCCAGACTGCCCATTGCAGGGCAGATACCAGGAGGTCAGATGTACTGGAATGTTCTTTTTGGCTTCTTCTTCCTTTTTTTGGAGACAACGTCTCACTCTGTAGCCCAGGATAGAATGTGGTGGTGCGATCTCGGCTCACTGCAACCTCCGCCTCTCGGGTTCAAGTAGATTCTCGTGCCCTAGTCTCCTGAGTAGCTGGGATTACAGGTGCCTGCCACCATGCCTGGGCTAATTTTTTTTGTTTTTTTTTTTTTTTTGAGACGGAGTTTCGATCTTGTTACCCAGGCTGGAGTGCAATGGCGCGATCTCGGCTCACTGCCACCTCCGCCACCTGGGTTCAGGCAATTCTCCTGCCTCAGCCTCCTGAGTAGCTGGGATTACAGGCACGCACCACCATGCCCAGCTAATTTTTTGTATTTTTAGTAGAGACAGGGTTTCACCATGTTGACCAGGATGGTCTCGATCTCTTGACCTCGTGATCCACCCGCCTCGGCCTCCCAAAGTGCTGGGATTACAGGCGTGAGCCACTGCGCCCGGCCAATTTTTGTATTTTTAATAGAGACAGGGTTTCACCATGTTGGCCAGGCTGGTCTCGAACTCCCAACCTCAGGTGGTCTACCTGCCTCAGCCTCCCAATGTGCTGGGATTACAGGTGTGAGCCACTGTGCACCGTGCTCGGCAAATGTTCTTTTCTCCCTCTTTTTCTCTCTTTTTTCTGAGACAGAGGCCTACTCTGTCACCTACGCTAGAGTGCAGTAGGGCAATCTCCACTCACTGACACCGCAGCCTCCCGGGGTCAAGTGATTCTTGTGCCTCAGCCTCCTGAGTAGGTGGGATTACAGGTGTGTGCCACCATGCCTGACTCATATGTTTTGTATTTTTTGGTAGTGATGGGGTTTCACCATGTGGGCCAGGCTGGTCTTGAACTCCCAACCTCAGGTGATCTGCCTGCCTTGGCCTCCCAAAGTGCTGGAATTACAGGCATGAGTCACTAGGCCCGGCCTGGAATGTTCTTTTGAGAAGAAAATGAGTGTGAAGGACAGTGGGAATCTGGCTGGGTGGCTGGAGGTGGAAAAGACCGGGAGAGGCCAAGAATCTTTTTTTTGGCTATAAGCACTGTCACTAGTGAAGATCCTCCCCACAGCTGGGCGTGGTGGCTCACACTTGTAATCCCAGTATTACGGAAGGCCCAGGTGGGCAGATTGCCTGAGCTCAAAAGTCCCAGACCAGGCAGGGCAACATGCCAAAACCTAACTGGGAGGCCGAGGTGGGAGGAACACTTAAACCTGTGAGGGTTTAAGGCTGCAGTGGGCTGTGACTGCACCATTGCACTCCAGCTTGGGCAACAGAGCGAGACCCTGTCTCAAAAACAAAACACCAGCTTGGCCAACATGGTAAAACCCGTCTCTACTAAAAATACAAAAAATTATCTGGGCATGGTGGTGCATGCCCGTAATCCCAGCTACTCAGGAAGCTGAGGCAGGAGAATCGCTTGAGCCCAGGAGGCAGAGGTTGCAGTGAGCCGAGATCACGCCACTGCACTGCAGCCTGGTGACAGTGAGACTCCGTCTCAAAAATAAAAACCAACATCCCACCCACAAAACAACACAAAACCTTTGTGGGCAGAGAAGAAGTTTGTGGGTGGGTCAAGGACTGCCGTTTTTTTTTTTTTTTTTTTGAGACAAGGTCTTGCTCTGTTGCCCAGGCTGGAGTGCAATGGCACGATCACAGCTCACTGCAACCTCTGCCTCCTGCGCACAAGCAATTCTCCCATCTCAGTTTCCCGAGTAGCTGGGACTACAGGTGCACACCACCATGCCTGGCTAATTTTTTTTTTTTTTTAAAGATGGGGTTTCACCATGTTGATCAGGCTGGTCTTGAACTCCCGACCTCAGGTGATCCGCCCACCTTGGCCTCCAAAGTGCTTGGATTACAGGCGTGAGCCACCACGCCCAGCTGCTAATTTTTTTTTTTGAGATGGAGTCTTGCTCTGTAGCCCAGGCTGGAGTGCAGTGGCATGATCTCAGTTCACTGCAACCTCAGCCTCCCAGGTCCCCAGTTCAAGCAATTCTCCTACCTCAGCCTCCCCAGTAGCTGGGATTACAGGCATGAGCCACCATGCCCAGCTAATTTTTGTATTTTTTAGTAGAGATGGGGTTTCACCATGTTGGCCAGTCTGGTCTTGAACTTCTGACCTCGTGATCCATCCACCTCAGCCTCCCAAAGTGCTGGGATTACAGGCGTGAGCCACTGCATCCGGCTTAATTTTATGATTTTTTGTAGAGATGAGATCTCACTCTGTTGCCTGCCCAGACACTTTCAAACTCCTGGCCTGAACCCATCCGCCTGCCTTGGCCTCCCCCAATCCTGCGTGCAGCCCTCACGAAAGACCGTGGGCCGTGAGTCTCGATGGTCTGAGTTAGAATCCCCTCTGCCACCTACTGGCTGTGGGTGATGTTGGGCAAGTGGTCACATCTCTGTGCCTCAGTTTCCTCATCTGTGAATTGAGACAGCACAGGTCCCTACCTCATAGGATGTGCAGACTCAGAAAGTGAATAAAAACAAAACACTGGGCCAGGCACACAGTGGCTCTAGCACTTTGAGAGACCGAGGCAGGAGGAT